ATATTACTGACTATCCATGAGGTGCTGGTGAGCTACACAAGAACAGTTTCACTGCAATGATGAGTGTGGACACACATTGTGGGGACATGGTGAGTTGATGGCAGATGAGGAAATACTGTAGCTCTTGAGAAACTTAGGGGCTACTGGCAACTTCTGGACATGAGAGAACGAAATAAGAATATGCAGTAGAAAAAAACCTACATGCAACGCTAAATGCAAAGTGATATTCTGGGCTGTCTTGGAACAGAAAAAGGACATTATCAGAAAAACTGGTGATATCTGCATGAAGTCTATAGTTGAGTGAATAGTAATGTATGTTAATTACTTAGTTCTGACAAATGTTTCATAGTCATCTAAAACGTTGATGTTAGGAGAAACTGGGTGAAGGGTACACAGGACTATTTCTGCACTATCTTTGCAACGTTTCTGTAATCCTAAATCTTTCCAAAAATAAAAGTTTACTTAGAAAAATGTAAGAACAGATATTCCAACAATACCCTGATTCTACAGATTAAAGTTTTTAGTTCAGGAGTTTCTGAATTTATTTTTTAATAATATTTGTCTGATTGTAACATAGTTAAATACTAATTGCAATAAATAATTGGAAAACAGAAAATATGCCTTTTATCTAACAATTTAGAGATAATCATTGTTAACATATTTTCTTATTCTACAGATAAGAATTCTTTTTAGCCATCATTCAAACCAATCCCTGGGGGTCTGTTCCCCTTAATATTTTAACATAAGCTTTTCCTCTCATGTAATTTAAATGTCTTTAAAGCATTTAAGTGACTACATACTTATCTACACACAATGCTTTGCCTGTTCCTAAGTTGTTGGACATTTAGATTATTAATATTTTCAACTTTTAATTATTTACAAATAGTACCACAATGACTATCATATGCATAAATGGAGTGCACATGCTGATATCATTAGGAGAAATGTCAAAAAGTGGACTTGAAGGAAATTTTTTTTTTTTTTTCAGTCTCACTCTGTTGCCAGGTGCCAGGCTGGAGTGCAGTGGCCCGATCACGGCTCACTACAACCTCCGCCTCCCAGGTTCAAGCAATTCTCCTGCCTCAGCCTCCCAAGTAGCTGGGACTACAGGCCAGCTAATTTTTGTATTTTTTAGTTGAGATGGGGTTTCACCATGTTGGCCAGGATGGTCTCGATCTCTTGACCTCATGATCCGCCCGCCTCAGCCTCCGAAAATGCTGGGATTACAGGCGTGAGCCACCGCGCCCAGCTGAAGGAAATATTTACTCAGCACTTCTGCAGAACCAACTTCTACTCCTAGCAGCAGTATGCCAAGACTCAGTCTTCCCTATCCTACCAGAAGAGAGTATTAGCAGTTTTTTTTGAATTGTCCTTTAAATATAAATTTAAAAATATCATCACTACTTTTAAATTTATATTTATTCGCATTCTAACGAGACTAAATATTTTTAATATATTCATTTTTAGCCATTTTGATTGCTTTTTATCTGAATTACCTGTTTGTGTGCCCTTTGCCTGTTCTTGGACTGAGATCGTAGGGCAGCTGATTTTTTTTTCTCTAATTTCTTTATCTATTACTGACCTTTTATTAGTTACAGTTGTGGATAATATTTGCTAGTTTGTTGTTTCCCTTGTTTATTATGATGTTCTTTAATGTACAGAGTTTAATTTAGATATGAATATATCTAATTTTCTTTTACAATTTCTTATATTCCTTTTATGTTTATAAAATGCTCACTGTCAGGGTTGGGTGCAGTGGTTTATGTCTGTAATCCCAGTACTTTGGAAGGCTAAGTTGGGTGTATCACTTGAGGTCAGGAGTTCAAGACCAGCCTGGCCAATATGGAGAAACCCCATTTCTACTAAAAATACAAAAAATTAGCTGGGCCTGGTGGCAGATGCCTGTAATCCCAGCTACTCAGGAGGCTGAGCCAGAAGAATGGTTTGAACCTGGGAGGCGGAGGTTGCAGTGAGCTGAGATCATACTCCAGCCTCAGCAACAAGAGGGAAACTCTGTCTCAAAAAAAAAAAAATCCTCATTGCCCCAACATTCAACCAAATAAATATGAATAGTGCATTAATTAAAAAGAGCACTTACACATGTAGAAGGACAGAAGCCAGATAACTTGTTCAACTGAATATATCAGTTGTTTTTACTTTAGAGATTCAAATATAAAGGCATATAGGTCTGGATTACACAGTGATTGGCAATACTAATTCTAAAACTTTAATCACACCCAATCATTAACAAGCAACACTTAATGAAACGAGCCTTCTCTTAGAGTTATCTTAGTTAAATTTTTTAGAATTACTATGAGCAGTTTATCTCAGAGAGTTTCCAAAAGAATCAAAAACTTAATCTCAGCATGACTATGTCAGGGAAAATCTCGTTCAGTCAGTCCCCAAGAGCACAGAGGGGTGTAGTAGACACCATCAACACTTTAATTATTAGCAGTTATTTTTTTCCCATCCCATTTCTAAGCAAGAGATTCTACTTTTCTCTGCCTTTGTGTTAATAGCTACAAAGAAAGAAGAATGTTGACATAGAAAGAACATGGAGGTAAAGTAAAAAGAGCACTGACTTTAAAACTTGCTAGATGTGGGTTCAAATTCTGGATCCACAACTAACCAGTTCAGTTTACCTCAAGTAAGTCAAACAGCCTCTTAAAGCTTCGTCAGCTGTAATATGGGCTTCAGCATCAGTCGCACAGAGTGGGCACTCAATCTAATGTTTTAAAAATGATTTCCAAAGAAACACGTTCTTTATAAAAATCACCACTAAAAATTAAGGCTTATTTTATAAAATAATTTTTTTTGATACAGGGTCTCACTTCGTACCCCAGGCTTTAGTGCAGTGACAAGGTCTTAGCTCACTGCAGCCTCGACCTCCTGGGTTCAACCTATCCTCCGACCCGAGCCCCACAAGTAGCTGGGACTATGGCACACACCCCCAGACCCAGCTACATTTTTTTTCTATTTTTGGTACAAATGGGGTTTCACCATGTTGCCCAGGCTGGCCGTGAACTCCTGAGCTTTAGATCCACCCACCTTGGCCTCCCAAAGTGCTAAGATTACAGGCATGAGCCACCATGCCTGACCTATTTTTCAATACAATTTTCTGTTCACATATAAATATGTTATGTGTACATACACAGTTCTGTGGGGTTTTTGTTTGGTATTTTTCTTCTGTTACTATTTCCAAGACATGAGGTAAGACACTACATTTATTTTGTTTTATAAGCAACCTCATAAAAGATTAAACTATTTTGATGGAGAAAAATCCCCATTATTAATGCTGGACAATAAGCAATTTGGAAATTAGTTCCTTTGTCCCACTAAAAATGGTAAAAGGATAAATTACCTCAAAGAGCCCTCAAATAATTCCACTTGCATTACAACTGGCAGTTCATAGCATCTATGTACACAAACCAAATCTCAACCTTTTTCTAAACACTTATTATGTTCTACCACTGGAAAGAACAGAAACAATACAATACCAAATTTGAAGAGGAGTCAGTCACAGTGTCAACTTTTGACAATGGACCATTATCTATAAAACAAGTCCAACAATGAAAGAACACAGCAAAAAGTTACTTTCTGTTAAAACCGAAAAGCTTCCAGCTGGACCTTCCCGGACTTGTTGAAAACAAGAAAAATCAAATAAAACTGAAAAGCTATTTGAGATAAATACATACCTGGATATAAGGAAACTGTAAATACTAAATCAGTAAAGAATCTGAGTTTGAGGGACTGAATATTTCTATGTTGTTGGCCTCAGTCTGCTTTTCTTTTTCTAGAGTAAATGTTTCGACCACAGAATAAGAGAACCCATAACAATTTACATTAGTGTGAAAATATAGCTGCAGGGGAGGTACAACAACATCATAAATCACAACCTCTCTCTGAGAAGAAAAAAATTGTTTAAAAAAACCCCTGCTGTTAGGGCCAGGTACAGTCCAAATTCACTTCCAAAATCCCAGTGTTACATAACTGAAGTATATTTTGATGGAGCTGAATGCCAAGTTACATACTTATCAAACGATTCTGTTTTGATTTTTCAGCAAAGAACATGACAGGTCTGGAGAGGCAGCAAGAGAAGAAAAGAAATATAAAGCAGCACCCATTTGTTCAAAATAGAAGATAACTTTCATTTTTAAAATCATTTAGGGAGAAAAATCACACATTCTCAATACTGCATCCCAAGACTAAGCCTTATAAAATGGTCTTTAAAAATCTCCATTCTTTCATTTTTTTCAAGATATTTTTAGGTGTTTCCATTATTTAAAGTCAAACACAAAAGCTTACTCAGCAAATACTTAAGGTACTTTAAAGGTTAATTAGAGAAGCATTATCAAATTTATATGCTTCCTTTCCATAGAGACTAGCAGAAATGTTGGAGATTTGATAGAAAATTCAGTAACAGCTGTCTACGTGTATAGCAATAATCACAAAATATGTGGAATGTATATTCCCAGGAAATCGCATCTTCAACTGTTGGTTTAAGTTTAAAGCATCAGAGAATTAGTTGAATACTAAAAGGCTATTATCTAAAACCTATTGATGTATTAATAACTATAATGAGGTATATTCATTTTAGAGCAAATGCACAATCTCCTCTAAAACATGACTTTAATACAGTGCAATCATTAGAAGATAAAATCAGTCTGGGAAAAGCTCACACAAAGGATTATTTAAAAACTAGCATCTCTTTATTTTCTTGCTCACAGAGAAAATTTACAAATAAGTTGTTTTATTTAAAGCCTTTTTAAAAAGCAAATAAATGAGATAACAAGAGCTTCAGATGTTTTTGAAGTGTATATTTGAAAACCTTAGATGACACTGATAAAGTCTACAAAAGCGTATGCAATGGCTTGAATAAATGGTAGATACTATTATTACATCTTTAAATTAATGAACCTAAAACAACTAAGCAATCTCATAAAAGTTCACTTAGAAGTTGTTCATTGTGAACTAACACTGTATATACTGGTGATAATTACCATGACTCAAAGGAGTTGTGCCATCCTTAGGCTTCTTTTCTTCTTCAGCTTGCTCCTAGAATACAGAAAATAGGGCTTAGACGGTATTTCTGGATAATTGTTGGAAACACTAAAAACTAATGTTTCTTTTTTGTAGGAAGGAAAGTCGTGAAGATCCTTATCACTGAGGGGGACAATGCACACAGTACCCAGAGCCTTCCAGTGGGTGCCCAAGAGGGGCACACATGGTCCATTTGGACATGGAAGGAATCTATTAAAAGTCTCGCTTTTGGCTAAAATACAAGAGAGAGGAAGCTTCAATAACAGTTAATATTGAGGTTGACACAGGTACTTTCCCTGACTGCATCCCTGGGCCTGACAGTTCCACAGGAGTGGCTTACAGAAGAGGCTTAGTCTACACTGAAACCAAGCCCTTCATCCTACATTTATTTTCAGCCTATCTGGGTCGACTACAGTTTGTAAGTGTTCAGTTTAAATAACTAATTTTTTTTTTTTTTTGAGATGGCATCTCACTCTGTCATGCAGGCTGGAGTGCAGTGGCGCAATCTAGGCTCACTGAAACCTCTGCTGCCCCAGTTCAAGCAATTCTCTTGCCTCAGCCTCCCGAGTAGCTGGGATTACAGGCATCTGCCACTGTGCCCAGCTAATTTTTGTAGTTTTTAGTAGAGATGGGATTTCACCATGTTGGCCAGGCTGGTTTTGAAACCCACCTCGGCCTCCCAAAGTGCTGGGATTACGGGCGTGAGCCGCCGCTCCTGGCCAAAATGACTTTAATTTTGACGAAACTGATTTTCACAGAATGGACAAGTGACTTCAAAGATTCTTGCAAAGGAACCATAAATTGCATATGACGAACAATACAAGCACATGCAATAAGCAAGATGGTGCAGCCTCTCCCCCTGGTGTAAGCGAGGCACACTCTTCCTGTGACTTTTGAAGGAATGTTTACCATTCAACAAAGACTAGGAAAGTGGCTTTCTTTATTGAAAAATCCGATAGCAAAGAGCATTTTGAAAGTGGGTATCCAGATATGTGTCTTATTTACATCACTTTGTAGCCATCAACAATGTTTTCCACCTATTAAAAATTCATAATATATACTTAGAAATTGGGAACAAAATTTCCCAATTTTAAAATCTTTTAAAAAAAGGGTTTCAAGCAGGCTTTGAACTTACTTTTGGAAACATAAATATACAATAGTTTTTTGGGGTTTTTTTGGAGGTTTTTTTTTTTTTGAGACAGAGTCTCGCTCTGTCACCCAGGCTGTAGTGCATTGGCACAATCTCGGTTCACTGAAACCTCTACCTCCCAGGTTCAAGTGATTCTTCTGCCTCAGCCTCCGGCTGGGATTACAGGCACACACCACCACATCTGGCTAATTTTTGTATTTTTAGTAGAGAAGGGTTTCGCCATGTTGGCCAGGCTGGTCTCAAACTCCTGACCTCAAGTGATCTGCCCACCTCAGCCTCACAAACTGTTGGGATTATAGGCATGAGCCATCATGCCCAGCCAATATGCAATAGTTTTCATTACTTTCCAAGAACAACTAATTGTCATCAGAGAATGTGAAAATTTAGCAGCTGATTTACACAAAAACTTTTGCTGAAAAATGAGTATCACAATTTAGTAAATTCAATGAACAATTATTTCTTCAATTTATTCTTATGTAGCTTTGGGATAGATCTTTTTATGTTGTGGCTAGTGTGGCTGTCCTTCCCAGTCTGCATGGAGCTAACCTGTTCATAGCACTTTGAAAACCCCACATCTGGGGAAACCCCTTAGTCCCAGGCAAGTGAGAAGGCTTGGCCACCCTAGCTTCTGACAACCATAAAAACCAAATCCAAAAAACCGACTGCACAAAATGGTATCACAAAACCAGGTTTTTGAAAAAGAATCATGTATACTAATATTTTGATAAAAGCAAACCAGTTTTTAACTGATGAAATAAATACTATTAATTTCATTTTCCTACCATTTTCCTAGTTCCCTTTTTAAGTCTATGGCTTTAAGGTATAAAAGACCATTTGTACAGTAACAAATTGTATCAGTGTTTTGTCTTTCATCCCCAAAACATAGCCTGACAACCTAGTCTAGGTCAACAAATATTTGATGAATGAAGGTAAGAATGAAAGGTTCAGGAAGAGTATTTTCCTGCCTGGTAGATTTCATATCCAAAGTTATCATGGATATCTTTGTGAAATTAACAACGTATCATTCTGCTAAGATGTTCTATAAGCCAGTGTTTCTCACACTTTAACATGCATTTGAATCATCTGGGAATCTTACTAAAATGCAGATCTTGATTCAGTGGGTCTAGGGTAGGGCCTTAGAGTACAGATTCCAACTAACTCCCAGCAGATGCTATGGCCAAAAGTACACAGCCCTCACTGTAAGTGGCAAGGCTACCAACTTTTGCCAGGGCATGCAGTGGAAGCAGGAACAGTAATGTAATCATATCTACCCTGTTCTACTGCAAGTGAGATGAAGAACTCCTGCTTTGGGTCTAATTTTCCAGGGTAGCACTTTACCCCAGTTCCACCCCTGTTCATTCACTCAATTCAGAGGAAATTTACATATGCAATTCAAAACAGAGACTCTCTTCTACTATAAAACCGGAAACAGCATTTGAGAGTGATTATCTTCATTCTACAGCTACTGAAGCATTTTTATAATCACTGTATCATTCAAAAATAAAAAGAAATATATAATATGCTATCTGTCACTCAGTGAGTGTTTGGTTCACACTTCTTTATTTGCTATTGAAATTCTGCCTGGAAAGGAAAAGACATTCCACACAAAACAACATTACCTCTCACTTTGGATTTAAATTGCCCAAGCTTCCAACATCTCTACGTTCTTTTGGTGGATCAAGGTTATAGACGGGTAAACATACACATACACACACAAAAGATTATATTGTATATACACTGCTATTAATGAACAGATAATGAATTTTAAAAAACAAAAGAAAAAATGAGCACTTTATCTTATCCTTCCAGACAGAACACTAAATCAATATGAATTGCAAAAAATAAAACCATTATTGCAGTTTCTCAGGTTTCAAACTCTAATTCTGAAAACTGAAAATAAAGTTCCAGAAAAAAATTGTGTTCTGGAGAAAAGGGAGATAATGGTTTAAGGAACATAAAATAAGTCTTTGCTATGGTACATTTCCACGCACCCGTTTAAAATCCATCATTTTGGAAGAGAGGATTATGAAGCGGGAAAATAACCAAAAAGGCCTAATGTTCTGTTCCCTCCTGCTGGCACTGGACACATCATATGCTTTTACTACAAGGCACAGTGACGTTTTCTAATTAATCAGTGTCTACATTTCTCTGTCTATGAATTCCAATCAAGGGAACAAAACAAAGGATTTTCAGCTACTAATTTGTGCTTGGCAATTTCGATTTATCACGTTGGAACTGCCAGATAATGCCCCTTTGCTCTCCTTCGCTGTCAGACTGAAGACTCCTGAGCACTCAAGGATTTCTGAGAACCCAGCTGTTCTTGTTCCATAAGAACCTGCTATCTGCACCCCAGAGGGTGATACACATTGGTTTCATAAATTGTAGAAAATAATGAAATCCTATTTAATAACCCCAGTGACAAACTGCTATTTGAATTTCACCTGCTGGTTCAAGTCCACTTTTCAACTTCTTTTTTCCTCTGATCCAATGTGGGATATAAACTGAAAATAAATAAAATTCACCTTTTGGATAAAAATACAGAAATTTGTGGGACTTTTCTCCATTGCTCTACTGGAGTTCATATACACTCAGGGAGAATGAAATGCTTCCATTTTGTTCAAACACTTGATAATACAGCTACAGTCTCCAAATGAAATCTCTTTAAAGTGTTTGCTAAGCCATATACAAAAAAATAAAAAGTGAAAAATCTAACATAGTCTTATAAACACCACCTTCTTATGTTTTTTACCATCTGTAAATGAATTTTACCGGCTGTTGCAAACTGACATCAGTCTTGTATGAAGAAATAACATGTTAAAGAATTAACTATTACTTAAAAATAGAAATCAAAATAAACCTACCCCAAACATTTTCTCAGTATCTATTTAAGGATGTTACAGAAAAATTGCATTACCGTCTGCAAAAGTTGAAGTCAACCATGGCCCTGATGTCATTTCCTTCAAGGCCAGTGGCCACCACCTCAAGTACAAGTTCCTCTACTTGGCCATCAAGCGTCACCAAGTGTGACTACCCAGATCTACCCCAGTCGCCCTGCAATCTAATTGCGCACCAAACCTTATACTTAGTGAAATAGAATGACCCATAAAGATCTTCCAATCTAAGACTGCTGTTCTACAGACAGAGAAGCTGAGTTCAGCCCAGTGAAGGGACTGTCCTTGGCCACACAGCTAATGAGCAGCACAGTCAAAGACCAAAATCTGAATCTCCTGACCCATGGCCCAACCCTATCCAGTGCTCACCTACTACACTGCCAATAGCAACATCTGTTCCAGTCAGATAAGTCATTATGGTCCTGCCATATACCACACACATCACCTTCTCTTCCAACCCCATACCTCTGCTCATGCTGCTTCCTTAAGGGGACCAGATAATTCCCGCCCGCTCTGACCCCTCAATTTTCTTACCTTTCAAGGTTAGAGAGCACCTAGATGTTCATATATTAAAAGTTATATTCTCTCAGATTAGATTTACCAGATTGGATTTAAAAGCTATTTGTTACAACAGAAAAATAATACATTCAGTATGAATATCTTAAGATACTCTTCATCCTTCAAAGGTCAGAATCAAGCTCCCGATTAGCCTACTGTTTCTGAAGGGTGACCATACCTTAGAGCACTAACCTGCTACATATGCACTGAGTTGTTCTCCATTACTCTACATAAGTTAGTTTTCCTTTATTCAGCAATACTTTAAGATCCTTTTGAGAATGAAAAATGTCTCATATTTCTATCTCTCAAAGTTCATAACTCCCTATTTAGATAAAGATCCATTGATTTCAAGAGGTTCAAAGGGAGAGGGAGAATGGGAATTAATACTTTTCAATATCAAAATGTTATAGTCAAAT